CCCTGTAGGGCGGGGGGCACCACCCTGTGCCTCCGGAGCCACACGCGGCTCTTCAGAAGTTAATATGCGGCTCCTTGTACAGGCACCGACTCCAGGGCTGGAGCTACAGGTGCCAACTTTCCAGTGTGCTGGGGATGCTCACTGCTCAACCCCTGGCTCTGCCACAGGCCCTGCCCCCACTCCAACCCTTCCCGCCCCCGCCCCTGAGCCTTCTGTGACCTCACTCCGTCCCCCCGCCCCGAGCCTCCTGCAGCCAACAAACAGCTGATCGGGAGATGTGGGAAGGAAGGGGGAGGCGCTGATGGGCAGGGCTGTCAGTGGGTGGATGGTTCTGGGGGTGGGGTGGGGAAACTGATGGGGGGCTGCTGATGTGTTACTCGGGCTCTTTGGCAATGTACATTGGTAAATTCTGGCTCCTTCTCAGGCTCAGGTTGGCCACCCCTGCCCTAGAGGCCAGAGCAGAGCACGGCTGCCTGCCCCCCCCCGGCGGAAGCTCAAGCAATAGGGGATGGGGGCGAATTCAAGAACGCTTTAGCCCAATTCCCAGAGGCATTTCCAGGGCCACTTTCCAGGCTCAGCAGGGCACTAGCAGCTCAGACGCTGCGTGCTGGGACCAGCGAGGGTCCCCTCCCCTCTCCCCAGCGCATCTCTGCAGCACAAGGAGTTTGCTCTGTGGGTCTGTTTCTAACCCTGAGGGTTTATTCCCTGTCCAAGCGCCGGGCACAGGGGTGAGTCCAGCCCCATGCTCTGCGGGAGCAGGCCAGGGTCACGTCTCATCACAGCTTCAGGCCACTGCCAAATCCGGCAGCAGCCTCAGTGCAGCGCCAGGCCTGGAACAAGCAGGACCGGCTCCAGGCACCAGCCGAGCAAGCTGGTGCTTGGGGTGGCAGCTTGTAGGAGGGGGCATTCTGCCCAATCCTAGGGTGGCACGGCCGCTTTTTTTTGTTTTATTTTTGTTGTTGTTGTTCCGCTCTGGCCGCCCTGTAGGGGGCGGCGGCGTGGAGGACGGGAGCGCCCTGCAGCAAGCCTGGCAGGGCAGCCCGCGTCCTTCTCTCCCAGCCGACCGGAGCGGCGCGGAGCCCACCTGGCAGGCGGTGCAGCGGGAGGGGCCGCGAGGCAGTGCCCCGCTCAAGCCCTGGCCGCCCCCCTTCTCTCTCTCCCCCTGCTCCCTCCCTTCCCCCCCAGAGACCATCTGCAGCGCAGGGAGTCCCCCTGCACCCTGGATCCGGCCGCGCCGCAGGTTTTTTTTTTTTTTGCTAGGGGCGGCCAAAAAGCCAGAGCCGGCCCTGGGAACGAGCATTTGTGTGTGTGAGGGGGGGTCTCAGCAGGTGGGGGCAAGGGGAGAGCTCACCCTGGCAGGTGTTCTCACTCGCGTGGGTGAAATTGGCTTTCCCAGAGCTGGACTCGTAGCCATCGATGCAGGTGCAGGAGTAACTCCCAGGCGCGTTGATGCAGTTTGCGTGGGGTCCGCAGTGTTCCGGGCTCGGGCCCTGACACTCGTCAATATCTGCAACACAAGAGGGGACGCTCTGTACAGTCCTGGCAGGGAGACGTTCCTGTATCACCCACCTGTACTGAGCTGGGTGACGGGACCCAGGCGACCGGGCCCCTGGGAGCTTAACAATCACAGGCCTGATTCTCAGCTATGCTCAGGCCACACTTGGCTGCTCTGGCCGTGGAACAGCTACTCGAGAATATGGTGTATTGAAAACTGTGTTAGCATCACAAGCTCTCACTTTACATCTGCAAGGGGCTTTCCTGGACCTGCTTGCGGGCTAGGGGGCTTGGGTGACAAGCATGTGATCTGGGGTTTTCAGCCGTGTGTCTGCCGAAGAGCCCAGCCTAGAGCAAAGTGGGGTTAGTTGTGCCCGTCTGCCTTCAGGAGCAGCCTGCTTTGTCTCTCTCTGTTCGGGGTCCTCGTGTGCTGGGGTTCCGGATTCTAAGAATAACCCTGTGTTGAGCTGCAGCCCGCCAGCAAGAGGATGTTTCTAACTGTGTGTGTGCCGTGAACATCACAGGGGGAAGGGGACCTTCCGACCCCAGAACACCACTGTGGCGTCTATGGGCCAAGCCCCAATGGGACCAAAATTTGGGGAGATTTATGAGTCCATGTGTGAAGCTGAGTTGCCCAAGGGATGGGAACACTGGGACTTGGCAGAAATCCCCCTCAGGTTCCAATCACAGAGTAACACACAGGCATTACCAGCCTGCGTCAGCCCCAAGGCCCATCTACCCCGGTATCCCGTCTGCGATGGGTGCTACAGAGGAAGGTGTAAGAGTCCCGCAGCAGCAGCCGGGGGATAATCTGCCCCCATGAAGGTCTCCTCCTGGTCTCTAATAGTCGGAGTTCGGCTGAAGCCCTGAAGTGGGAGCTTTTCCCTCCCTCCCAGAATTACTGCCCATTAACTAGCACAGCTCCAGGCATTGTCGCTCCCCAAAGAAACAGCCAGTCCCTCTTTAAAACTCGACACATTCACAGCCTCCAGGCCGCGGTAGCAGTGAGTTCCAGAGGCTACTGCTGCCCCGGGTGGAGGAGTATTTCCTTGTATCTGCTTTGAATTTGCCCCTTTTCAATTCAATTCAAAACACAGGCTGCCCCCTTACTCATTGGTCTTTCTAAAGCTCGTGATTTTCTAAGCGAATCTGATTTTTTTTAGTGCCTGGGATTGTCGTCAGGAGCTCAGCCATGCACTTGAGACCCACTGGAGCCGAGTTAAGTGCGTAGCTGGGCAGGGCTGGAGCCAAGCATGTGCTTTGCTGACTCGGGGGGCTCAGGGAGCACAGACAGGGACCAGCACAAAGCGATTTAGCAGCTGGCAGCTTCCAGCATCCCCCGGTGGAGACACCCGCGTATGGGTATCCCCTGCCAGGGGACTGGCATTGGTGCATGCGCCAGCTTCACCAGCGCAAAGGGTTCTCCAAATCCACTGGACTGCGAGCCCAGAGAGACCTCTCGGTCTGTGCCCTGGGCAAACTCCCAGCCCTGGGGGAGCGACGCGGAGCTGGTCAGCCCGGGTGTCCCCGCGCCATGCCGCTGGAAGCCAGGGTATCTGAAGGAAGCCTGGGGGTGGGCTGGCAATGCCAGTCCCAGCACATGCCCTCTCACAGCACTGCCCTGGGGGAGCGACATGGAGCTATAGCAGAGAGAGCCTGGAGCAGGGGCCTGGCATAAGGCCCGAACCAAAGTCAGCAGAAGTGATGCTCTGAGCAAAAGTCCGGCCCTGTGGGACACGGAGCCAGAAAGGGTTAAGCAACTTGCCGGCTGTCATAACTATGAAGGGAAGGGTAACAACCCTCCTGTGTACAATACTATAAAATCCCTCCTGGCCAGAGGCACCAAAATCCTTTTGCCTGTAAAGGGTTAAGAAGCTCATGTAACCTGGCTGACACCTGACCCAAAGGACCAATAAGGGGACAAGATACTTTGAAATCTTGGGAAGGGGAGGCTTTTCTTTGTGCTCTTTGTTTTGTTTGTG